TTTTTTTTTCTATTTTAGTGGAAGTTTATTTATGGAGGAGAATGAGAGAATGTGTAGTTTCTTATTAAAAATTCAAAATTCAACTGGAGTTATGGTTATATTAATTTATTTTTCTTTGCTGGTGGATAATATGTTATTGACTTTAATAGGTAAGTGAGTATATATAATATTAATATTAAAATTTTACATGTATTTAAATTTGCATATAGGTTTAATTTTTGCTTTAAAACTAATGGCCGAATTTCGCTCCCGGGGATCCGGGATCGAATCCTGGTGAGCAAAACCAGAAATATTTCAGAAATTGTTATGTCGTGATTCGTGCTTCACCTCCCGTACGTCTTCATTTTGGGCCTGGATATAATTTAGAAGGCCTTATTGTGCCCACCAGTGGCCGAGTGGATAAAACACTAAGAATGGTAGTTGGTGGTGAAGAGCAAACTCGCGCCTCACCAACTGACAAGGCTGCGTGAAGTTTTTGGGTTTATTTTGCGTGTTTAACACAGTTTCCCTTTGAAAAACCTCTTGAGAGGCACTTCCTTACCATATTGCCCTTGTTGCATTGCCTTATTTCATCAATTCAATCCAATCTCTTTCTTCACGCTCATCATAGATTCGTCCAGGCCCACAATAGGGGTAGCCAGAAGGTGAGGAACAGAGTCTAACATAACCGAAACGAACAATCCATGAGAAATTTGTGGTGCTGTTCGTCAACAAGTGCGAATTTTGTCATCTTGCTTAATAATTTCCTCAATAAGAATAAGTAAATTGGTTAATTTTGATAATTTTTTGAATATTTTTAAAATCAGTCTATTAGAATCAGATATTTTTAACTCTCATTGAATGTACTGTACTAAGAGGATTTTCTTTCATGTCCGTTGTGGGTTAAGCTAGATGATGAGGGACGGAGCCCGTCATTCCCCGGTTAAATTAACCACGAAAATTTACGAGAGTTCAGAAGGAACTGCATATTGACTCTGTTTCTGACCTTTATATAGACTGGTTTATTAGTAAACGACAACGCGACACGTGAGTTATCTGCCGAGAGGCATCCTCTCGGCAAGACTTTCTAAGGGAAATTGGCCCCAATTTAGGTGTTACTAACGTAAAGAATACGCGTGGTCAGCCCATTGGGAGGCGCTAATCCACGAGTGTTCAGTATTCATTCGGCTATTGGTGGATACCTTTATTTAGACAGATCTCAAAAGATGTTACTTATAAACGTATAATAGATAGTATAATAGAAACTATACATATACAAAAATCTAATCTGTAAATTAATATATTAACAAGCAAAATATAAGTTATATTCTTAAGATAATATTTACGAGATTCACAATATCACAGAAGAAAAGCAATACTTTCCCAGTGCCGAGTGGTTAAAACCACTAAACGCTAGTCGTGGGGTTCACACTTCCCCAACGGACTGGCCACGTGGAATTTTGCGGGTTTTTTTCACGTTAGTAACATCGAAATAGGGGCCAAATTCCCATAAAAAGTCCTCTAGAGAGGCATTCCCCTCGGCAAATCGCCCGTGTGTAACGAAATACGTTATTGGTCACATTAATGTATTATGTTATAAATCTAGTAACTGTAAAAAAATAGGCTATTTTTACATATTTATAAATATTCTAAAACGTTAAAACAAATGCGGAATGTATTTAAATGTTAACATTCGCCACGGTGTGGTATCATAACAACAATATCACGTGGAAAGATTTGTATGGACAATACCTCTAAGCTTGTTAAGTGTTTTGATTTAAGAATTGAATTCAATCTACAACCAAACGTAATCGAATTTAATGATTTAATTTAAAAGTATCAACTTTTACGCTATTCTAAAGGCGAAAGTAGTCAAGTTTCTTCGAATTAATACTTTGAAAATTGAATATTTAATTTACTTTTAATTGAAATCATTAGACTCATTCAAATTAAATGATCATATAAATAGAATTTAATTGTTTTCTATGTTGTAAACATGTTAAAAATAATTTTAAAAATTTAAATACATTTATTTTATTTTTTCAGTTCCTATTATTCCTGATTATATCTATCAATTGGAAAATATAATTAATGTAAATGAAACAAATAATCATTTATGGATCTATAATATTACTGAAAATTCTACTGTTTATAATTATACAAATTATAGAAGTTATGATGATTTATTAAGAAAAAATATTAATAAAGAAAATGGATTAGTTGGAATCTTGTTAGCTTCTAAAGCGCTCACTCAACTCGTTTTTAATCCTTTAATTGGAGCTATTATTAACAGGTACGGATTATAATTAATAATATTCTTCTTACAATTATATTTTGTATTTTATATTACACGTAATTTAATTGTAAATTGTGTAATTTTTTTTTTAGTCTGCATCATTTAAATACTTCCATTTTTGTGAGCGATTCGTCAAACGATAGATAAATTATAGTTAACATTAATTTGTTTCTTATATTAATAAAAAGATAGCAACGTTGTTTCTAGACTTTTCAGGCATTTTTTATTTGATTTTCATCCCTAATAATTGTTAATCCTCTTCAAGTCTTAAGATTGGTTCGGGAGATATTAAGGGGATGATGCGTATCTCACAAACCAACAGTCCGATTTTTATGAAAATTTCTACAAACATTTCTCTCTTATACACAAACTTACCTGCAAAATTTCAAAAATTTTCGACAAAAGGTACAGGAGTTATTAAGCTTCAAAGTGGATAAACACACACACACACACACAGAGAGAGACTAATATACCACTAATATCCATACATACGGGAGAAACTCCGAATATTTTTTTGCATTTATCGACTTTTCAAAGTACCCTGAGTCTAAAAATATAAAAATCTTCGGGTGGGGTCAGTTTTTGACCTATCGCCATACTTTTCCTCTGTTATAGTATAACAGCAAGGAGAGTAAAATGTTCGTCACTTTATAAAGCACAATATCTCTTTATGTTTTTTATACAGTTGTGTTGAAATGTCTGAAAAGTCATTAAATATAAAGTAGACTCCATTTTACAACCGCTCACTTCAAACCCCAGTTTGATATCAATTTTCTATGCGGCTATATAAAATGCCTTATTTAAGTGCCATATATTTTTGGCTGGACATCTTTATTTGATATTATATACGTAAAACATTTACAAGTGCACAATCTCAGTTGATAGTATTGAATTTATGGGAAGTAAAATGACTCGTTTGACGACTGTTATCTAAGAATCAATTCGATTGTAAAAGCCAAGTTTGCTGTATAGTATTTAATTTAAATATATAATAATAATAATAATAATAATAATTTATTTGAATAGGAACTTAAAAGAAAGCATATAAAACACAGGAATTAACTATTAATTATGCACCTAAGGAAGTGATGCCGGATTATCGGATGTTATTGTATTTTAACAAAATTCGATGTTATACGCGATCCGGATTATTGCAGACAATAGTTTGAAATACTCCATTATTGCGTATGTATAACGACCATAACTCTACAATCCTTATTACAAGATCAGAAAATCCAAAGACAAACATATTGATACTCCAACGGCCATCAGACATTTCTATACAGTTTTGAAAATCTCCATTGTTTCCTACATATAACTTCGAGTCGAGTTACATTATCAGACGAATTAACACTACGATTGTAATTACGTGATTTCCATTATAGTTAACTGCATGTCAATGCTATAAATTTATATAAATTCCACATATTTATTTTTTAATGACGATGGTAATAAGTGATTACAATGTCGTTGCAAACAGGCAACTTACTGCGGAATATCGTTACAATATAAAACAGCCTTTAGTATCTTGTATGACTTTCTCTTGCCCGAATACATGTGAACATAGAGACATACATACATACATACAGATATATGTGCTCGCCTGTAACGAATTTGCTCACAAATGTTACAACTGCCGCTTCAGATCTCTTACTCTAGTTCATGACAAAGCTGGCATCCCATCTGATCCCACATATGGCCAATGGACAACAAATATGGAGACCATGCAGCTGAGAAAGTATGTCAACATTCTTGAGAAACCACAGTGCGGCCGAGCATTATCGTGTTGGAAAATGATTTGAATCCCTGCCATGAAGGGCAACACTTGAGGGTGCAGGATTTTTTAACGTATCGATGCTACTCATACTAGATGACTCCTCAAACAATTACAGTAGATTCCCCTCTAACACTGTTGATTATTCCGTTTTATATGAATTCCATGTTGTACGAGTCACTTAGATTTTACAAATACGTGTGCCTGGCTGTGAACGGCTCACGTATTTGTAAAATCTAAGTGACTCGTACAACATGGAATTCATATAAAACGGAATTATCAACAGTGTTATAGGGGGGTCTACTGTATTCCAGTAGTTGGGAGCAGTGTGCCGCTTAACAGTAAATGCGAGATTGAAGCGCTTACCAGTAATAAATGCCCGATGAAAACTGGGATGTATTCTGTATATAATTTTGCGCTTAGTTTTTCAATATGGCGGTGATTCTGGTACATTCCAGTCACTTTTGTCTTATATTTCGAGTAGTTTTATTATTTCATATTTATTTTTAACCTATTGGTATATTATATAACTCAGCAAATTTGAAAAATGTGTAGGCAGACGAACAGACACACAGCTTGACTCTAATTATAATTATTTCCCATTGATAAATGAATGCAACTAAATGTATTTAAAAAGAACCCATTAATATAATAGCAGTTTTATTTGATGGTTATTAAAAAAATACAATAAAATTAACTAATAATAAATTTAATTAATTAAAAATTAAATAAAAATTCCATTATATTTTTATAGAATGGGTTATATCTATCCCCTTGTAACAGGAACGATTATATTGATAATATCTTGCATACGTAAGTGATAATTTTATATTTTATTAATACAAATGGATAATTAATAAAATATTAAAAGAAACAAATAAATTTGGATTAATTTATTTTGTATATTTTAGTATTTGCATCAAGTGAAACATTCTTTTTATTACTTATGGCGAGAAGTATCCATGGACTTGGATCATCGTGCATTTCCATTTCAGGTATTTATCATCACTTATTATTTAGACAATACATTTTTATTTAATTAGTTAATTTTGGGGGGTTTTCATAAGATTATAAAATACAGTATTGCATTAAAGGTATAAAGTTACTTCTGACATTATAATTTGTGGAATATTCTTCGTTTACTCCCCTCTGCAGACACCCATGCCTATAAGGGTTAGAGGGCTTTAACATTATGGGCTTGAAAGCCATATAAAACATCACAGTACAAATGTACACCAAATACATATAAATACATATTGCATTTTTGTTACTAAAAATAAGTAAAATTTAATTATATAATGTTTATTAAGTATTTTAAAAAATTTATAAAAATGTATTATATCTTATTTTATACAAAAACAGTAAAAAACACTAGAAAAAAATTTAAAAAGTAAAAAAATTTTAAAATAATTTTAATACCACTTACCGGAGCTATTATTAACAGGTACGGATTATAATTAATAATATTCTTCTTACAATTATATTTTGTATTTTATATTACACGTAATTTAATTGTAAATTGTGTAATTTTTTTTTTAGTCTGCATCATTTAAATACTTCCATTTTTGTGAGCGATTCGTCAAACGATAGATAAATTATAGTTAACATTAATTTGTTTCTTATATTAATAAAAAGATAGCAACGTTGTTTCTAGACTTTTCAGGCATTTTTTATTTGATTTTCATCCCTAATAATTGTTAATCCTCTTCAAGTCTTCAGATTGGTTCGGGAGATATTAAGGGGATGATGCGTATTTCACAAACCAACAGTCCGATTTTTATGAAAATTTCTACAAACATTTCTCTCTTATACACAAACTTACCTGCAAAATTTCAAAAATTTTCGACAAAAGGTACAGGAGTTATTAAGCTTCAAAGTGGATAAACACACACACACACACAGAGAGAGAGACTAATATACCACTAATATCCATACATACGGGAGAAACTCCGAATATTTTTTTGCATTTATCGACTTTTCAAAGTACCCTGAGTCTAAAAATATAAAAATCTTCGGGTGGGGTCAGTTTTTGACCTATCGCCATACTTTTCCTCTGTTATAGTATAACAGCAAGGAGAGTAAAATGTTCGTCACTTTATAAAGCACAATATCTCTTTATGTTTTTTATACAGTTGTGTTGAAATGTCTGAAAAGTCATTAAATATAAAGTAGACTCCATTTTACAACCGCTCACTTCAAACCCCAGTNAGAGGCTATTTGGTAAAAAAAAAAAAAAAAAAGATCTTTGAAGTTGCTCTATCTAGAAACATTGCAAAGGCAACAAATTGGGTTTAGTTTGGTGATGCAAAGCGCTCTCGATAGAAAAGAAAAGATTCTTTCCCTTTTGACAACTAAAGGATCGACAGTTTATTGAATCTTCCAATGTTGTCACAAGCAGTTGCTTCTTTAATGAAGCTGATTTTCTTTTCTAAAATAAAATAAAAGTAAAAAAATAATAATAATTTACCAACTAAAATTTAAAAATCTCTATATGTATAGCCTATAAGTCAAAATATGCGTGTATGTATGTATGTTAGATAAAGGGTTTTATATCTTTCAACGTATCCTCATCAAATTTGCCATGGATATTTTTCAAACAAATATTGTGAGAGTCCCTATTCCCAATTACCCCTAAAACCCACCCCTCTTCAATTATGTATACTTGCTACGTAAAGAGTTCTATACCGTTCAACGTATCCTCATCAAATTTGGCATGACACCTTAGAGAAAATATTGTAAGGGTTTTCCCCAATCACCCTTAAAGCCCATCCCTCTTCACTTATTATGTATGTTTGTTAAGTAAAGAGTTCTATACCGTTCAACGTATCCTCATCAAATTTGGCATGACACCTTAGAGAAAATATTGTAAGGGTTTTCCCCAATCACCCTTAAAGCCCATCCCTCTTCACTTATTATGTATGTTTGTTAAGTAAAGAGTTCTATACCGTTCAACGTATCCTCATCAAATTTGGCATGGATATTCTTCGAGGTACCCTAGAATAAAACACTGAAATCCCACCCCCATCGAACACCCTTAAAGTCTACTTTAACTCGAGAATTCCAAGCACACGCAGACAATTATTTATAAATATTTAGCTAAAAATTATTAATTTTATTATATTTTTTTTCCACAGGTTTCATCGCACTCAACTTTCTGGAATCTATTGATCGACCCCCAAATAGCAGTAACCGTTGGTATGTATACCCCAATAAAAGATTCTCTTGTATACACAGAACGGCCCAAAAGTCAGTTAACTACAGTATATTGTTTGCAAGAAATTCAACAAGTTTGTTAAAGTATTTTAAAGTAACGCAATTTGACAGTATTGAAGCCATGTCAAATTATATTGTCAAACAGAACAAGAACAGAAGGATCAAGAAGAAGAAGGATCACATTTAGAACAAGTTTGGCAAACTTTTTAGATAAAAAAAAAAAAATTCGCAAAATTGGTTAACTAAATTTTGGGCCACCCTTTGCATTTATATTATTGTTATTGTTAATAATAATAATATTATTATTATTGTTGTTGTAGGTGCTATTTGTATTTCCACATCGGCAATGTCTATATTGGAACCATGTTTGCCCATCTGGCTAATAGAAGTCATGTCCCCTCCTAAATGGCAATTAGGTCAATTGAATCTTATTGCTTCTCACAAGGGATCATTTTATTAAATTTATTATTATCCAACTGATAACAATATAATTATAATTAATTTCTCGTTTTTTTTTTATCCTCTCGCGAATTAACAGGATAAATATTAATTTATCTGTATTTTATTTATTTATTTATTTTTAGGTCTTGTATTTATACCCGACAGTTTGGGTTATTTAATAGGAACGAATTTTTTCGGACCAATTAGCTTTAAGTTTGGAAGGTAAAAAAAAAAACAAAAAGAATCATTTTTGATTGGTTGAAATAGTGCATACACTTTTACGTAAATTTGACGTCATTCTTGAGAATTGTAAAATTGAGGAAGTGACGTCAAATTGACGTAAAAGGTCATTACTCCAATCAAACAGACCGTTGTTATTTATTTAAATTTGAAAATATATTTCTGAAATGTTTTTATTGGTCAGGTGGTTAACTGCTATGCTTTCTCTATTCTTGGTGGGTGCCTGCGCTACGACGGTAAGTAATATTTTCTCACTTTCTACATTTAGATAGATGAAGGGTGTGGCTTACTTCATTAATTCTTCCGTCTTTGATCTAATAATGCGAATTTAATCAAGAATGACCGTCTTAACTATGCTTTAAAGCTAATGGAACGATGTTATCTGATAGTCTTTAACACAAAGTTTATATTCATTAAGACAAACCCGCTTATAACGCTAATTATCTTCCCTTTTTTTTTTCTTAAAATGTTTCTAGATACCGTTTGCCGTTCACGTTACACACTTATTACTTCCCCATTTTGGAATTGGTCTAGGTATAGGTAAGTTTACCATACGCGCGCCGCGCACGGCGCGTCGCTTCGCGCGTATGTTTAATTACTGTATTGCTTCTAGCAAAAATCTGAATTAATTTTATGCACTTTCTAAACTATTTATAGGAGTGGCGGATGCTGCTTTAATGCCTTTACTCGCCAGTTTAGTGGATAAAAGGCATGTTTCTGTTTATGGAAGTGTCTACGCTCTGGCTCAAGTTGCTGTCTCTCTAGCTTATTCCCTAGGTACATTAATTATTTTATGATTAGAATGTTAACTGTGAAGATTTGATCGACTTATTTCAATTTTTAGGACCACTTGTGGGTAGTCAACTAGTGAATTTAATGGGATTCCCTACTCTGATGAGATTCATAGGCTTGCTTAATATCCTTTACAGCCCTCTCTGTTGTTTAATAAAAGATTCATCATCGCCAGTACAAGAGAATAAGGTTAGAATTTTGATATTTATTTAATAATATACGTGTTTTTTTATCACGTGACACTTCTATAACACTTTATAACTATATTTTATTGCGTGTGTAAGTTTTGCAGATTCAAAACTTTTCAATAGTTGAAGTAAGATATCTGTCAACTACAGGTGTTATTTAAATTTAAAAATATATATATATATTTATATGTCACCTCAGTGGTATAGATGTTACAGGGTTCAGTGATCCTGTTAACCCTCCAATATACTCAGCCATTTTTTATGGTATATCAGTAATACGGATAGCAGATGAGATAACTTATGTAATGTAATTCCTAGCTGAAGCGTATAAGCAGATAACAAGCTTGGCCTCTAAAGGATGAAAGTTACCATGCCTAATCATGGAATATTTCTAAGTAAAATATTCTCTGCTAACAGATAACTTTTTAAAGATTTATTTCGTACATTTTTTTAATAGTTTAATAAAGAAAATATACTCAATATGTCGCAGAATTTAGGAGGGAGAAGAGGAAAAAAAAGAAGCATCGTACGACGTTATTGATCATAGAGAATTATTAAATGATTTCTTCTTTGGAGCAGCTTAGATGTAGGTTGTTTGTTGTAATATAGTTTCAGAACGTTGCTTTGTTTTATATATTTCTTATACAGTAGTTTAGATAATAAACTAGCAACATCTAGGTCACACGATATGAATCACAATTTCCTTTATAAGATCTGGCTGAATCATTAAATGAAAGTTTATCTTCTTTTATTGTCTTGTTATCGGGATTTTATGTAATATATCGACAAATTTAATTAATCATTTGAAAATATATATATTGCTATTATCTAGAATTAGATAAATAATTGATTTTATAATAAAAAAAAAAGCAATTTCATAAACAGTCCACGCGTGTAGGTCGTTTTGCAAGAGATCTACACTTTCACAATCATTTTTTTATTGGAGAAGAACATAAACTTAAAAAATGAAGAGGTAGAGAGAAGTTTGCGACGATATTTTCGATAAACTTTTACTCTTCAAAATTATAAAAATATAAATTAATGCTTAGTAGTTCTCAATCAGTGGTACACGTACCACCGGGGGTACGCAAGAAGGATCTTTCAGTATTAAAACTTTATTCGCCGAAGGCTCAAGTAGTGAAAAAAGGTTGAGAACCGCTGGCATTAATTAATTACATTAAATTTCTAACCATAAAAGAAACGTTGTTTTGTATTTAAAAAAAACGATAAAAACTAGGTTTTTGGAGCTATATAAAATATAAAGAACGATGTACATCTTCAGTTTTTGGCATGAAACTTCATAGGATTGTATATAGCCAACTTCATGGACAATGTAACTCTTCAGATATAGATTCATCGTATATCAGATAGCAGTTTAGATACTTATCGTTAAGAACATCTGGCAAGGTTGGAAATTAAACAGAAAAATCTTTTCTTTTTATTAGTCTACCATTGCTGGTTAATAGTATTACTGTCATAAATCTAGATGTTGAGAAAATATCCTTCACATTCTATCAGGTATATATATATATATATTTTTTTTATGGTCTGATATATAAATACATTACATTAATTTTTATTAAAGGACAGGTTGAAATTTTATCTTTTAAAAAAAAATTCTCAGTAGAGAATAATAACTGCTGATAGTAGGAATAGAAATTTCCAAATATCTTGACATATTGACTTGAATAATTCAAGTAAACTAAATAAGGATATGATGCTTTCTAGACAGAATTTATATCATTTGCTAGGATATTGGAATTTTTCTTTCTTGAAAAACGAAGTCATTTAGCAAAAAAATAAAAAAATGATCGAGAATTTCTGATAACACTNACTTTAAAGCTCTTTATAGAGTGATAAAGTGATTAAATTAAGGACATTATCTTAATGTTACAGCTGTGTTTAAAGTGTTATATATTTAAAAAAATATGTAAAATTATAATAAAAATTTTAATAATGCTGCAAATTTTTAATTTATTTAATATAAAATATAATTGCTTTTCATCTCAAATTAGTAATTTCTTGCCCCTGTAAATCATACTTTTCCTGATAACATCTATCTAAGTATATGTTATTAAAAAAATAATAATATTTAAATTAATTTTATTAATTTTTCTCGATTTTATATTTATTTAATTTACATACCTTACATATAAAGTAACTTATATAAGTATAATATGTATAAGAATCAATTTATTCCTATTCTACATAAATTAACATAGAAGTGAAATAAATTTATATAGACGTCAAAATGAGCATATCCATTATACAATATAGGAAATTTATAACAACGTTTAAGAGTTGAATAATATTATTATAACACACGATATTATTCTAGAATTACGTGATAATTGCCGTTTGTAACTAACTCTATATCAAGTAGTGTATAGGAAGGAAGAGGAGGAGGAGGAGGAGCAGGAATTTTTTTTCGTGTTATCATTTTTCTTCCTTCCTTTCTGTTAATCCCATCCTGACAGCTTTAGCCAACTAGTATAAATATCACTGGATATATTTCTTATATAACCTGTTATATAACTCGATAAAATTTTTAATATAAAGCAGTATCATTAAATATATACACGTTATGATGCTATAAATATTATTTTTGCTTTATTCTAGCTCCATATAAATGCAAATTTCCTTATATAAAACTTCCTCTTTTAACGTATATAATAACTGTATATTATAAGTATTTAAATAACTTACTTTTTTCTATTAATATTATGTAATTTTCTACGTCTTTTTTGTATTGAAAGTGTCAAGCGCGTCGCTTCGCTTTCATAAATTTAAAAGTGTATTTTATTATATTTTCTGGTAATTAATAACTGTTTTGTACGTATTTTACTTTATTTATACATCAAATTTTTATTTAATTCTATATTTTTTTTATTGATTTCTTTAAAATTAAATAGAAACAATCGAATAATACTTGAGTCTAATATCGCAAGCGACAACGCGCGTCGCTTGCAGGAGTGCAACGATTTATTGATTGTATACTTTCCTTATTTCCGTTAAGAATGAAGGAGTTTTTCCCTAAATATATTAAAATACTTATTCGGAAATAATTTATGATTTCATATACGATTTAACGTTTTAAATTAATAATAAAATAAAACTTTAAACATTAGTAATATCTGTTGATAGCCGGCGCGCGACGCGAAGCGACGCGCATCAAACTATAACAATTTCATTTTTAGCAATTGCTCGATTAAATAAGGAAACTTCATAAAAGATTTATTTATTTATTTTTAATTAAATATATATATATATATATATATATATAATAAACTTAGATAAATTTAAACCAATTACAACAATTTTTAAATGCAAACAAACTTGTAAACAACGGCCATTAACAGGAACTAACAGGACTGGAGGTGGCCGTTGTTTGGAGGTTATAAACCAATTACAACAATTTTTAAATGCAGCTAAAGTTATGAAGAGCTGCACAGGGACATTTTAAAATGGCTGCCGTTATTTGGTGTTATTTTTTATTCATTTATATATTTTTTTTTTTACAAAAACAAATCTCTTGAAAAATGGCTTTTGTTTAGAGGTTACCGCTGTAGAGAGGTGGCCGTTATCGGAGGCTCGAATGTATTACATAAATATCCTAGAATAGGGAGCTTTGCATACCGGTTTTTACATAGGAAGATCGTTTCAAACATCACGGGATAATGACCCCATTTCTAAGCAAATTTCGAATTTAAAATCCTAGAAAAATTGCGCATAGAAAAATACTATTTTATTATGTAAATCTTATAGATGTATCTATCTATATATTATTGATTCGTAAAATAAATAAAAGAATTTCTTTATAACAAACAATAATATTAGAAAATTTTACCTCCATTCTTTAGTAAGAAGCATTGTCTCTATCGATTTTCAATTTCTTCTTCTTCTTTTGTTTTTATTTTTATTATTGATTGAAACTATTGATTATTCCAAGATGAATCAAATAAAATAATAGAAAACATTTCTTTATTTTATTTTATTTACTTATTTATTTATTTATAGATGATGCTAATTGGTTCTGCAGCAGTTCCTAATTATAGAGCATTCCTTGAAGAAAATCAATATAAAAGATTTATTGATGATGTCGATTAATGTGTTACTTACTGTACGTGAAAATATATCATTTTTTCTGTGTTTTTCTTTAAATAAATAAAAGATTTATGAACATTAATAATGCTCTTTGGTTTCTTATATAAGATAAATTTACTAATTTTTAACGAAAAGAAAAAGATTTATAACAATTAATTTTATTACTAAAATGAACTTTTTATATAATATTTTTATTTTAAAAAATTACGATAAGATTTTAATTGATGAATTTTTATATATGATGTTGTAGAAATTACACGTGGATCGAGTTGCATCGGTTTGTTTATACATGATACGAGGCGACGCGATTGTTTGCGCCGCGCCGCGTATGTCGCGTGCTTAATATTATCGATGTAATCGTTGCCTTTAAATGTCGACAGAATTTATTTGCTCCGCGACTCGATACAAATGATCAGTACAAGCAACGATTTTTTGATTTATTTATTTATATTAATATATAATCTTTCATTAAATATTTATGAAAATTTTAAATTAAAAAAATTCCGATCGTTACATCTCTTCTTTACGTATTTGCGATGCGACACGACGCGACGTGATTTGTCGCGCATACGCTTATGTTACAAATATGGCATCAATTACTCTTTAAAGGTCACAGATTTTACTATACAGCATTCTTATTCGTTAATGCAGAAGCGATACGTGCATTTGATGGAATTATACCATTATATTTTGATTTTAGAATTCGATAAAGTAAGATTTTTGAAGATCAAATCGAACATTCGTTAAAAATAATGGAGGTAAAGGTGATAAAGATAAGAATAGCGAATTAACATATCTCTAGAAAGATCTCTGTATAATGCAATGGTAATCAAGTGTATTGACTAAGCGCCAGATGTCATTCGTGATGTCTTCTAGTGGGATGCGGATCGATAATAANTAAATATATATATATATATATATATAATAAACTTAGATAAATTTAAACCAATTACAACAATTTTTAAATGCAAACAAACTTGTAAACAACGGCCATTAACAGGAACTAACAGGACTGGAGGTGGCCGTTGTTTGGAGGTTATAAACCAATTACAACAATTTTTAAATGCAGCTAAAGTTATGAAGAGCTGCACAGGGACATTTTAAAATGGCTGCCGTTATTTGGTGTTATTTTTTATTCATTTATATATTTTTTTTTTTACAAAAACAAATCTCTTGAAAAATGGCTTTTGTTTAGAGGTTACCGCTGTAGAGAGGTGGCCGTTATCGGAGGCTCGAATGTATTACATAAATATCCTAGAATAGGGAGCTTTGCATACCGGTTTTTACATAGGAAGATCGTTTCAAACATCACGGGATAATGACCCCATTTCTAAGCAAATTTCGAATTTAAAATCCTAGAAAAATTGCGCATAGAAAAATACTATTTTATTATGTAAATCTTATAGATGTATCTATCTATATATTATTGATTCGTAAAATAAATAAAAGAATTTCTTTATAACAAACAATAATATTAGAAAATTTTACCTCCATTCTTTAGTAAGAAGCATTGTCTCTATCGATTTTCAATTTCTTCTTCTTCTTTTGTTTTTATTTTTATTATTGATTGAAACTATTGATTATTCCAAGATGAATCAAATAAAATAATAGAAAACATTTCTTTATTTTATTTTATTTACTTATTTATTTATTTATATTAATATATAATCTTTCATNTTTTTACAAAAACAAATCTCTTGAAAAATGGCTTTTGTTTAGAGGTTACCGCTGTAGAGAGGTGGCCGTTATCGGAGGCTCGAATGTATTACATAAATATCCTAGAATAGGGAGCTTTGCATACCGGTTTTTACATAGGAAGATCGTTTCAAACATCACGGGATAATGACCCCATTTCTAAGCAAATTTCGAATTTAAAATCCTAGAAAAATTGCGCATAGAAAAATACTATTTTATTATGTAAATCTTATAGATGTATCTATCTATATATTATTGATTCGTAAAATAAATAAAAGAATTTCTTTATAACAAACAATAATATTAGAAAATTTTACCTCCATTCTTTAGTAAGAAGCATTGTCTCTATCGATTTTCAATTTCTTCTTCTTCTTTTGTTTTTATTTTTATTATTGATTGAAACTATTGATTATTCCAAGATGAATCAAATAAAATAATAGAAAACATTTCTTTATTTTATTTTATTTACTTATTTATTTATTTATAGATGATGCTAATTGGTTCTGCAGCAGTTCCTAATTATAGAGCATTCCTTGAAGAAAATCAATATAAAAGATTTATTGATGATGTCGATTAATGTGTTACTTACTGTACGTGAAAATATATCATTTTTTCTGTGTTTTTCTTTAAATAAATAAAAGATTTATGAACATTAATAATGCTCTTTGGTTTCTTATATAAGATAAATTTACTAATTTTTAACGAAAAGAAAAAGATTTATAACAATTAATTTTATTACTAAAATGAACTTTTTATATAATATTTTTATTTTAAAAAATTACGATAAGATTTTAATTGATGAATTTTTATATATGATGTTGTAGAAATTACACGTGGATCGAGTTGCATCGGTTTGTTTATACATGATACGAGGCGACGCGATTGTTTGCGCCGCGCCGCGTATGTCGCGTGCTTAATATTATCGATGTAATCGTTGCCTTTAAATGTCGACAGAATTTATTTGCTCCGCGACTCGATACAAATGATCAGTACAAGCAACGATTTTTTGATTTATTTATTTATATTAATATATAATCTTTCATTAAATATTTATGAAAATTTTAAATTAAAAAAATTCCGATCGTTACATCTCTTCTTTACGTATTTGCGATGCGACACGACGCGACGTGATTTGTCGCGCATACGCTTATGTTACAAATATGGCATCAATTACTCTTTAAAGGTCACAGATTTTACTATACAGCATTCTTATTCGTTAATGCAGAAGCGATACGTGCATTTGATGGAATTATACCATTATATTTTGATTTTAGAATTCGATAAAGTAAGATTTTTGAAGATCAAATCGAACATTCGTTAAAAATAATGGAGGTAAAGGTGATAAAGATAAGAATAGCGAATTAACATATCTCTAGAAAGATCTCTGTATAATGCAATGGTAATCAAGTGTATTGACTAAGCGCCAGATGTCATTCGTGATGTCTTCTAGTGGGATGCGGATCGATAATAAGATTCTTGACCCGCCACAAACTAGAAATTACACAAAATTCCGAAATTTCTTCTATAAATTTAAAAAAAAACGATAAAAATTAATAAAAGATGCGTGAAATACGTTTGTGGCATTGATTTTTCAAAAAATTTCCCATCGATTTTATTGTTTTTCTCTCGAAAAACACGTGATTTATATCGATAAAAAGTAGAGAACGTAGGGGAATATATTTTTATATTAACGACCGTTAAATTTGCTGGCTGTTAAATGACGTCAATTAACGATCTCGTCGATTACGCGTTGTAAATGAAATATGATTTGTTGTAAAAAGATCACGTGAGTAATAGATATGAAAATTCAAAAAGAAAAATAACCGTTAAATGATAACAATTAAATGTATTACTCTATCAAACGGCAATAACTTTACACACGCCTACACAAACGTGTAAAGAAAGAGATTTTTGAAACAATTATTGATTTAAACCCACGTAACATGGATCCTCGCCTGTATTTTCAAGTAAAAGAATTTTTAAAATATTAAAATAAAACTACGTCTCTTTTCCTTGTATTTTATAAACAGACATATATAATTAATTGTATTTAAGTACAAACATTAGTTTCGGGTTCTTGAACTCGAGAATTATTTAATTAAAAGTTGAAACCTCGTAAAAGAAGAAACAACAAGATCGTAAATTAAGAACGGTTCATCAAACTTATGAAAGCCAAAAATAATACGAAAAAAGAAAAAAAAAAACTGTATATACGGTACACGTATAGGAGCAGTTATACGACAAACTGTTCGTACAATAAAAAAAAATATATATATATAGCTGGTCTTGAACTCAAATATGCGTTCAATAATGGAGACTCGCCTTTAGAGAATATAAAGCTCTTCCTGATCACCTGCCTCCGGATAAAGAAGATGATGTATGATGCAGTCGGTGTATTTCCATGATTTATTGTTTGCTAGTATAGAAATATTTTACTCCTTTCTCCTTTCTTGTAATAGAAAGCTTTTGTACAAGTAATAAACGAACTTTGTACAGGAAATATGGTTGAATTTTCTAAAGAGAGGAAACGTGTCTTATATTTAAAGAAAAATATATAAATNATTATTTCACTTATAAATTATATAAGTTATTATAGCGATCGGTTTATTTGCCCATTTGTCTGTCTGCCTGTAGAACTTTAATTAATCTTTAATGAAGTTAAAATTATTAAAATTAAAAATATTGAATTTAATTATTTTCTACAGCATTTTAAATGAATAAAATTCTAGAAAAGTGTTTTCAAAATAACCTCCAAACAACGTCCACCATTCCTATTAGAGGTCATTATTCAGAGGTTTGAATGTATATATTATACAATTTTACTTAAAAAGATTGTTTTAACAATTAAAAACATAAAAATTATTGTAAAATAAAGTCAAACCTGTAAACAACGTCCACTGTCGAGAACGTAAACAATTACCATTGTTCACAGGTAGCCTTTGTTTAGAGGCTATTTCCTACAATAGTTTAAAAATATTTGTTAAAATGGCCATGGTCGTTGTAGAGAGGTTTCATTATTTTTCTCTAAAAAAAAATACCTTCAAAAATTATTTTTTATTTAAAATTTTGTGTTTTCTAACTCTTATAATAAATTTTATTATAAATAAAATAATAATAATAATAATAATAATAATTTAATGGTATTATGTGGTGACACTTCATTCTCTTGTTTATTATTATTTATCTTTTTTTTGAAACTTGCAGCTTATCTTATGAAAAATAATATACTTTTTGACCCACTTATTTGATAAGTTTTAGACAATTTTGTTGGAATTCAATAATATATAACTTCTTGACGTTAATAAAAGTTCGTTCAACCCATTTTGAACGACACTTTTCTTTTATTTTCAATCATTCGACACGTTTAAAAATATTTATAAACAAATATATAAATAAAAAATAACTTAAAAAAATATTTCTATTATTTTTTCCCTTCAAAAAATTGGAGGGAAAAAAAATCCATAAAATTCCCCAAATTTATTTTTAAAATAATTTCCATCAAATATTTAAATTAAACCGGCAACGAGTTGCTCTACTTTCCCGGCGACATTTTGGGTGTGGCGCCATCTGTTATCATATTTTAATAATAAAAAAAAAACGTTTTTATATTTTTAAATATTATAAAATACATTTATATTTGATAAAATTACATTAAAAAATTGTAATTATTTTTTATACTTTCTCTTAACAATTTTATTTTAATTTCATTAAAATAAATTTTAAACTTAAATTATATTAATTATATAACATATTAATTATTAACAAAAACATTTATTTAAAAAAAATAAATAATACAATATTCAGTATTTAAAAATTGTTTTAAAATCCCTTTAAAAGATTTTTAAGAATTAATTTTTAAAACGTTTAAAAAATTTATTTAGAAAATTAAAAAAAAGAAATTATGAATTGTTTTTTTAAAAAAATCACTTTAAAATTCAATTTTTAAAATATTTTCTATTGAAATTTATCTAAAAATAGCATATTTAAGACCCCCCAAAAAAATCCGCTCTAAATTCAAAGTAAAATATTTTAAAAGTGGCCAAATTTAATTTAAAATTTTAACAATGAATTTTATTNAGCTTTTCTAGCAAAGATTGGGCAATTTGATCAGTAAATATCAAGCAATACTTGATGAATTAGATCTAGAACGGACTTAGGCTTGTGGCCCTAAGCTGTAACATATAACAGGACCTTCTCCTCTACCAAATATGATACATGTAAAAACGTCAGGACCAAAGCTATAGAGGCCATAAGTTGCAGCTTGTTTAATTTACGTGCAGATTTGATCCTGATTCCTTCGAAACAGGATCAGACCCTAGCATGGAAGATGATAATCACTTTTGTTTATGAGATAAATTAAATGTTTATTGATCATTCTTTCTGAGAACTTGCAGAGAGATAATTACTATCAGAGTTCTTGATCAGTGCTTAGTGGAGTTCCTAGGATTTTTCCCTGATAATGTGTAGAAATAAAATTAATAAAGGATCAATAACTTCTAGGAATCGAGTAACATTTATTATTTCAAGATTCTGTTTAAAAGAATCAATAGAAATTGATTCTTTAGCGATCAGAATCTACTACAATGATGAGTCGTTTGAAATATCACATCTGTAAATGGCACATTATATTCTTCAGCATAATTAGATAGAAAATTTAATACAGTTAGACTTCAGAAGAGGAGAATTTACGAAAAAATCCCTCATACTCTGTCTCATTTCCGATCTACACCGTATTTATGGATATTTTGGCTATTTGGTTGATGTTTTACCTAATGAATTTTCAGCTGCAAGGACAAATTCCACTGCATGGTTACTACTATTAACATTGTTCAGATGTTAACAGTGATAGTGATGAGCCAGTGCAGCTACAAGGCATGGTTATAATGGTGTAAATGTTTAGTGGTGTTACCTAATTGGTTTATGGAAATTTAAGCCAATAAAGTAGTAAAAACGAAGGTATACTAAATATTTAACAGTCGTTTATGTGAGCTGTTGTATTTTCCATAAGATCAATGTAGTAAATTAAAGTTATGTTATAAAAACACAACTTTAACTATACAATAATACACAAGAGATTATTTAAAAAATGCATCATTTTATATTGTCATAATACAAAACTTACAACAAACGTATAAGCGAGGTCTTAAATTATTCAATATTGCTCGAAAGTTGATGTAATTTATTACGACAGTCTAAACGTTTCGAAAAATATAAATCCTTATTAGCATAAGAAAACAATTTCTGAGCATTGTTTTGAAGAAAATTGCAGTATAAAGTGCTCATCTTTTATTCTAGCAATCGGCTAATCAATTATTCTCGATATTTTTCATTCGAATGAACAATTCTGTAAATACTTAGTCAATTATCTATCAGTTAGTGATAATAATCATAAACTCCGCGGATAGAGATCTTAATATATGTAATTTCCGAGAATTTGTAATTCCAGATTTAGTATTTCAAGAACTCCAAGCATCATAAATTCATGAAAAACTATTGACCTTCATTCTGTGATGTTTACTCTTGCTTGGAATTGAAACATCATCCGCTCGACGTTCGACGTTCAACGTTCAAGATAGCGGCGCTCGACGTTCGACGTTCAACGTTCAAGATAGCTGCGCTTGACGTTCGACGTTTACGTTTTACAGATGAAAACTTCGGGCGCAACCTCGCTATTCTCATCCGAAGAAAAATGTTTAAACGAGAATATTTCGTGTTTAAAATAGACTTTTATAAAGAAATTTTGCAATTTTTCAATCCAATATTCATACAGCCAACCTCCAAATAACGTATACCTCTCAATAATGGCCACTTTCTCAGGAAAGTTAAACAAAACTACACATTGAATAACCCTCAAACAACGGCCATTTTTTTATGATCCTGTCAGTGGACTTTGTTCACAGGTTTTGGCTGTATTTAAGTGAATAAAACTTTCAATGTTTTCGCTGCACGTGTTGCGAAAGTATAACATTAAAATTCATAAACAAATAGAATTAAAGTTACAAGTAAAATAGTGTCCAATCATGAGCGAGGATTTTAATCAGGTGACGAGTTTTAAAATCCTCGCATCTTATTGGCCAGTTCTATATTTCAATCTGTAGTGTTCAAATTCTGTCTTCTGATTGGCCACTGCTCTACTGCGAATAGGAACATACTTTTAAAATGTAGTTTAATAATATATTATTTAAAAAATAAAAGAAAAAGCTTTATTTATAAAGAGAAAAATTTTTAGAATCTTAATTTAATTAATTAAGTAATTTGACAAAAATTTTCTAAGAAATTTACCTCAGTTTATCCAAGCATAAACAACAGATGATGAATTATTCATAGGAACAATAGTGAAAATAGTGGGAAAACTTTAAAAGAAAGTAAATTAAATTCATGTAAATTTCAAAAAAAAAAATTACATTAATTCACGAGAAAAATAAATAATTTTTTTTAAAAAAATTAATTAATTATATTCATTAATAATTGAATAAGGGTCAAAATAATGTTTTAATTTAGAGAGAAGACAGAATTTTGTAACGAAAAATGTAATTGGATGACTTTAAAAAGTTTAAAATAAATCAAATAATTCTAAAATATAATAAATAAATTTAAATGTATTTAATTAAGTTAGAATAGATGAATTAAATTTTATAACAGAAAAATTAGCATTTAAAATAATAAATTAATTAAAGAGTACAGTGGAGTAACGTCGCGTGGTGTCGCGCGCTAGCGATTAATTTTTCAAATTTTTATTTAAAATATATTTTAAAATGTTATTTAATTTGATTTAGTTAATTGAATAATTATCAATTAATTTATTTAATTATTTAGGTTTATTGATTAATTATGTTTATTAAAGTGTATTGTAAAAATTTCAGATGGCGGCGCGTTGACGCTTCGCATCAGCGCGCCGCAAGTTGGAAATTTCTTATCAAGTTTTTCACTATTTAAAACACGATAAAAGTAAGATTTTCTTAATGAAAAAATTAAAATATTTATTCTTAAGATATTTAATATTGTAAAAATCTTACTTTTAGACTAGTTTAATACCTAATATTAATGCTATTGTAGCAATATTAAGACCTAATCCAAACAGGAATTCACAGCACTTTTTAGTGTTTTTTATTACATTTTCTATATAGAAAGAATAAAAATCCGATATTAAATAGTTCATGCCATAAAAAATGTCAATTCAGTTTGCTTTTCTTATAGAAAATCAAGATGAATGTAGGAGCGAAGATCAAAATGAAGATGGTAATTAGCTTGTAAAGCAGCTTTTCTAGCAAAGATTGGGCAATTTGATCAGTAAATATCAAGCAATACTTGATGAATTAGATCTAGAACGGACTTAGGCTTGTGGCCCTAAGCTGTAACATATAACAGGACCTTCTCCTCTACCAAATATGATACATGTAAAAACGTCAGGACCAAAGCTATAGAGGCCATAAGTTTCAGCTTGTTTAATTTACGTGCAGATTTGATCCTGATTCCTTCGAAACAGGATCAGACCCTAGCATGGAAGATGATAATCACTTTTGTTTATGAGATAAATTAAATGTTTATTGATCATTCTTTCTGAGAACTTGCAGAGAGATAATTACTATCAGAGTTCTTGATCAGTGCTTAGTGGAGTTCCTAGGATTTTTCCCTGATAATGTGTAGAAATAAAATTAATAAAGGATCAATAACTTCTAGGAATCGAGTAACATTTATTATTTCAAGATTCTGTTTAAAAGAATCAATAGAAATTGATTCTTTAGCGATCAGAATCTACTACAATGATGAGTCGTTTGAAATATCACATCTGTAAATGGCACATTATATTCTTCAGCATAATTAGATAGAAAATTTAATACAGTTAGACTTCAGAAGAGGAGAATTTACGAAAAAATCCCTCATACTCTGTCTCATTTCCGATCTACACCGTATTTATGGATATTTTGGCTATTTGGTTGATGTTTTAC